TTTGCCAGGTGGATCTGCATTACTGGAGCTAGTTAACCCATCACATAGATGGACTAGCATCCCCAAATTCTAAATTATCTTCTACTGGCCTTTCCCTCACACTTCAACCAAATAGTTGCTGCTGCTGCTGCTGCTGCTGCTGCTCCTCCTCCTCCTCCTCCTCCTCCTCCTCCTCCTCCCCCCCCCCTTTTAAACTTTTAAACTCTCTTTTAAACAGCACAAATGCCTTGTTTCTGGATAGATTTGATTCCCTATTACCTGCCAAGTGTTCAGTGTTCTAGACACAGCTTTCCCTGCCAGCTATGTACCATCATCTCTGAGCCAACTTTTATCAGTGTACCAGCAGTATCTTCAAGCCTATTCTTTTACTTTTTGAAAAGTCGAACAGCCCAAGACCAGGGTTTGCTGCTACAGTTCTGCTCCCAAGCAGATGTTGATTCAATTATCAGCATTCTTTGGATATGGTCAATGCATTTTTATTACTCCACCCAACTGTTTTGTAAGTATTCTGTGAGAGACCTTGATAAATGTCTGGTTGAAATTTGGGTAAGCATCTACACTGGCAATCTTGTGAAATCCTGACTAGAAATGAAGTTGGAGGTCATCTTGTCAAACCCACTTATTTGATAGAAGAAGACATTGAATGCCAGCCAGAGAGAGAGAGAGAGAGAGTTATGGCAAGCAGATGTTCCTCAAGATCACACACCTAGTTAGTGGTGGAGTGAAGACAAGGACATCAGCCTCCCATCTTGTGAATTCAGTGTTCCTCTCTAATCACCATCAAAGTGCTATGAGGTCAACTGGCTGGCATGATTCTTTCTATTTACAGACAAGTAAATTAAAGCTCAGAGAGATTAGCGGTCATTCCCCAGACTGTATAATGAATGAGGGGTGGAATTGGTTTTGGTGTTCTGGTTTTGTTAGGGATGAGAATTTACTTGTGAATAGAATGTTTAAAGAGCACAGCAGTATAGCACAGTCTCCGTGAGATTATGAAGAAGTGTGAGCGTGTAATAACTGAGTTCCATGATTTTTTCTTTAAATAACGTTTTGTGGCAAGGGCATTCAAGGCAAAGGAGGCAAACAGGATGACCCAAGCTTAGTCACCACAGCAAGCAAAGATACATTACTTTAGGGATTTGGTACTCTCCAATATAATCTTAAAGCAAGCAGCAGCAACGTGATTTGAGGTGGTTGTAGTCTGAAAGATGTAACACAGATTCAGTGAAACTGAAGGGTGAGGAAGGAATATTAGAAGCGAGGGAGGTGGTGCTCAGAGATGAAGAATATCGTCCTATTGCCTTGAAGTGTGTTTCCAGAAGTAATTGTTCTAATGTTTATTGTGAAAATGTATTCTCAAGAAGTTTGGCTAACACATATTCACAGTAGCTTAGACATTCTTTAATGGCAGTATTCATGCCTTATTTCACTGATTATATAACCGCTGGACCTAGGACCATACATGATATATGGTAGACATTACATAACTGTTCATTAAATGACATCAACAAGAAGACAGGTGGTCTTCTCAGTGAGTGACTGATCTGGGATGATGATCAAGGACCATAAAGTTTGGAACAATCCGAGATCACAAAGCCAGGTTTCAGTACAGAGATGTATAGAGGGGTTGTCCTCCATTATTTTGGTGCAATGAATGGGCTCTGCAACATTGGGTGCAATGAATGGGCTTGTCATCGCTTACCCACAAGGATGATAAGATTGGAAAAGCCAAGGATAGTTGACTCTCAAAGGTGGTGAAGCACAGTGCTGCAGGAATTTACCCATATTGTGTGAAAATGAAACAGACCATCCTACAAGACAGTGGGTTCTCCATCCCCAGTGGATTTCTAGAAAAACCCATAGAACCACATACAGATACTGTAGAGATGCCTTTGCTGGCCATGAGGTTTCAGTAGATGATCTCAAAGTTTTGCTTTTCTCCGATTCTGAGATCCCAAAAGCCAACTCTGTGATAGAGATTGCTTAGATAAGTGCACAGTGGTATAGCAATTTAAGGACTTGCTATTATGTATGTGCAAGGAACTGTGTCAAGTATATATCTCTGTGATGCTATGAAAGATTAGGCCAAATTCACCCTCTGCGCATCTACACATTCGCGGCCTGAATCCCCCATATTCACCCTCTGCGCATCTACACATTCGCAGCCTGAATCCCCCAAATTCACCCTCTGCGCATCTACACATTCGCAGCCTGAATCCCCCAAATTCACCCTCTGCGCATCTACACATTCACAGCCTGAATCCCCCAAATTCACCCTCTGCGCATCTACACATTCGCAGCCTGAATCCCCCAAATTCACCCTCTGCGCATCTACACATTCGCAGCCTGAATCCTCCAAATTCACCCTCTGCATATCTACGCATTCGCAGCCTAAATCCTTTCCTACTTTGCTCACACCTCAGTACCTGTCACCTGCCCTGTCTCTTGTCTCTCCCTGTGACTGTGTTTATCTTGCTCTGAAGGCTTTCTCGAAGCCTCTCTCCCTCCTTTCAACTCTAAAAATCCACAGTCCATGCTATATTAAAGAAAAATCTTCATTTGACCGTTCTGTCCCTTCTATTTGTCCACCTGAATACTGAAAGAAGTACTTTTCATCTTCTGTCTTAATTTTTGGGCTTCTGATCTTACCACTGAATTGAATCTGCAGTTTGGGGGTCACCAATTATCTCTCACAACCCAATTTAAATATCTTACTTCAAGTCTAACCCTTCCTGAACTATTATTGAATGACATTATTAATAATTCCCCCTTTCGCCTACACTCCCTCCAACTGTGAATGCTGCATAATCTTCTTGTTGAATGCCTTGTTCCATAAGCTATAACATTTCTGGTCATTTTTTCCCAGTTCCATTGGTTTCTCTCCTTCCTCTCATGTTAAGTTTGGGTGCTGCTATTTTAGACATATGTTTTGCATACCTCATGCACTCACATGGTTATAACCCCTCTTTACTTTTACACAGAATCTGTTTGAAATTTACATTTGCAGCCTCCACTTCTTCTCTCTTTGATTGCTTAATCTGTAAGCCTCCCCTGGAAAGTTCACTGGAGATTGAAACATGGCATGTTTTAAATAAAACTCGCCATGGCTGCCTCCTGCTTCTCTGAGTGCTGGCACCTCAGCAACCGTTAGCATCCCTGAAAACTCTCTTGGGAGCTTCCCCAAAGGGAAGTCATTGCTGAACCTGTCTCTTTATTACAACCCTGCTATGCCTTTCCTTAGAGCACCTCAGTGCCACCTTTTCTCTGCATGTTGGCAGGACCTGCCCTGGTCCATGCCTGGTCAGTCCAGCACCTGGATCTGTGCACATACATCCAGGCTTAGAGCTCTTCCCTGAGGGCTCCTCAAACTTCCTCATCCCTCCTGTTTCTTTGGAGCCTTGAGTGAGTGCATCTTCATTTCTCCAAAATATAAATCTCTTGCCCTTGCCTACTAGGCCCTCAAGCCCCTGCCAGTCTCCTTCCTGATCCTCCACAAGAAGCTCCCTTGGCTCCACCCCAGCCAGTCTGTCCCCGCAGCCAAGTGCCAGTTGCTCATTTCCAGTTTTGCATGAGGCCTTCTGTGTTCATCTGCTCTGGCTGCTATAGCAGTGCTCCACAGACTGGGGGCTTCAACAACAGAATCTGATTTTCTCACTGTTCTGGAGGCTGGAAGTCACGATCAAGGTGCCAGCAGGATTTGTTTGTTCTGAGGCCTCACTCTGTGTCTTGCAGATAGCCGCCTGCTCACTGTGTCCCCACATGGTCAGTCATCTGTGTGGTTTGTGTCCTAGTCAGTTTTTATAAGGACACCGGTCCTATTGGGTTAGGGTCTACCCTACAGACCCCATTGATCCTTAATTACCTCGTTTAAGAATCTCTCTCCAAATACAGTCATATTCTGAAAACTTGGGGTTAGGACTTCCCCGTAATGATCTTGTGTTGGGGACACACAGTTCAGCCCACACACCTCCTCTTCCAAACTGCCCATCCGTCCTTTCTCTCATCTCTCTCCTTGTTCTTCCTCTCCGCCTGTCCCTCCCTGCCGTCAGCACCCAGTGATCCTCATTTCGTTGTTCCCATTGGATGGTCTTTCCAGCCTCACCGTATGGGTTAATGCACAGATATGTGTTGCTTCATGAACCTGCCTCTTTTCCACGTCATTCCAGTTCTGCTCTCTGTCTCTGACTCAATTGAGAGCAGGGACTGTGTCTCTTGCACACAGCCCTTGACCTGGAAGCACTTGAGAAATGCCATTAAGTTACTGTGAGTCCGTCCTCACACACCCCCTCCTCCCACTTCTCAAGAGACTATTCAAGGGAAAGGCCTCATTTAGGGGCTTTTTTCCCGAGTGGTGATGGAGAACATAAGTGGTAACTCTGTGGACAGCCAGGAGGAGAAGGGCTGAGGCTCCATGCCAGTGACATTCAGCAAGCTAACCTTTCCAAATCAGAAAGGCAAGGGAGGGAATCTGGGAAGCCCTAAAGGCAGTGGAGGACTCAGGGATTTTCTGCTGGACACAGTAAGAACAACTATTCTCTCAGAAGCTTTGGAGAATGTGCTATTTCTTTGACCTAAGGGGTTGAAGATTCTATCTAGAACCCACTTCCTCTCCAAGCAGTAGGTTGGCTGGGAGGCTCCTGCTGGGAGTGGAACTGAGCCTGTGAAGGGAAGCCCATTGTGTCTTGGTGGCCCACAGAGGAAGAGAGCTGGGTATCATGTGCTGGGAGTGGCATTATGATGGGCTGGCTGAGCCCTGAGTGTGTTTCTGGGCAGACTCCAGAGTGAGGGCCTTGAAGGTGGGTTGCTGCGGTCTTCCGCCGTCCTCCCTAGTGATGCAGGACAAGTGATTGAGGCCGTGCCCAGGAGAGACTTGCCATTCAGTTAAAGACCCCCCGCTTTCCTCATCCTCCCTTCTTTCATCCTCCCATGCTTCCTTCCTCTCCCTTCATCCCTTTTCTTCTCTCTCCCCCTCCCTGCTCTCTCCCCTCATTCACTGTCAGGAAGGGCCATACCAGAAGGGCCCGTTCAGCGTGGCGTGGCAGCGGCAGAGGCTAGCAGCAACGGCAGCTTCCACAGTGAGTCTGGATTTCATTTCTGGGGCCAGGGGGCTGGGCAGGGCAGTCCACACACAGACTGACAGCTTGCAGGCTTTGGAGAGGCACTTCCATGGGCCGGGGCCTGCTTCCAACCTTTCTTTCGTTGCCTCCCACTGTGGGGCATCATTTAACTTCCATGGAAGTTTCCTGCCAAAGCCATTGTTGTGCTTGGGATGTCTCATGGGGAGGCAGCATGGTGGGGGCGGTGGGCCATAATCTGCTAAAATTAGGTGCACAGCCGGGAGAGCCGCCGGAGTTCATGTGGCTGCCAGTGTTTCTGTCCAGGCCTGTGCGTGCGGTGGAGGCTGGAGGCTCTGCATGGACCGTGGTTTGGCTGCTTTCTTGCATTTCAGGAGGTGTGACCTTGAGTTTTGAGTACACACTGGGTACCTACACTACATAGGAGAGTCCTATAAGGAAATAAGAATGCCCTAAGTGCAGACTAGAGGGTCTGAGAACCAGAGGTCTCCCCATTGACCTCAGGTGAAGCGTGGTTTAACAGACTTGATGCTCAGGACAGTCATTACAGATCCTCTGTGACCGAGTCAGATCCCCCAGTGCTTGCAGGGAGGCTTTTGCCCTCCCCATTTTAATTTCTATGGTAATTTCTGGCAGGGAGATGGACACACTGCAGAGTCAGTCGAAGTTCCATCTGTCTTGCCATGATCGTCAGACTGCATTGGATGGCTTCCTTCCATTTTTTGCTTGGGGGCTTTTTCTTTCTATCTGGGGAATGGTCCACTTGGGAAAACAGAAGCAAAAAATTCACCTATTCAGTCTTAAAGATCCCGCCTAGGCTAAGAAGACACAAGCCCTGCTTGCCATCTTGAGGGCTTTCCAGAGGCCAGAGGCTGTGTCCAAACACTGACGGGGTGTGTGGTAGCTAAGTCAGTTTTGAAGCGAGAAGCTTCTGGTTTCTAATATACAGTATTATCCTGACCCTGCAGTCTTATGGGCAGGTGCATGGGAAGGAAGGCTTTTACAGTGTCATTTATTTCTCTCATGATTTGCTTAGGGAGGTAAATTAAGCATAGCCTCCCAGGTTCTTTCAGGATCAGTTTTATAGGTTTCTCATCTTGACACGGCTCCTGATAACAGCATGAGACTTTAAGATTTTCAGTACTAACAATTGTGTATAGCTAGGGTATATCAGAACAAACATGCTGGGCAGCCCTGTGAGAATTTTGCAAGCAGGACCATTATGGAAAAATAATCAATGTGTTCTCACGCTTTAAAAATACCGTATGTATTTTAGTCACATCAGGTTCAAACTCTTGGTTTTAGGAACTGACAGGTTGCATTAAAATATCAAGTTGGTCAAATTTATTAATTAATTTCAACAAATATTTAATATTCATCAACTGTATGTGTTTGATTGTCTAAAGTTGGACGCTTCTGAGAATGAAAAGGGAAGCTATTAATAATTAAATAGGAGCTACAGGCATAAATTCAGACCTTTCTTGGCAAATTGGGGCATACAGTCATTTTATCCAGGTATGCTGAGTTATTGTTGGTGCCAGCAATACAACTATGAATATAACGGACAAAAGTCACTGCCCTTACTGAGGGAGATAAAAAATAAAGATAAATGCAGTGGCTCACGCCTATAATCCCAGCACTTTGGGAGGCCGAGGCAAGTGGATCACGAGGTCAAGAGATCGAGACCATCCTGGTCAACAAGGTGAAACCCCGTCTCTACTAAAAATAAAAAAATTAGCTGGGCATGGTGGTGCGCACCTGTAGTCCCAGCTACTCAGGAGGCTGAGGCAGGAGAATTGCTTGAACCCAGAAGGCGGAGGTTGCGGTGAGCCGAGATCGTGCCATTGCACTCCAGCCTGGGTAACAAGAGCGAAACTCTGTCTCAATAAATAAATAAAGATAAAGTAAAATATGTAGTAAATTGAAGAGTGATAGGTTCTTAAGCGAGAAGTAAAGCAGAGAGGAGAAAAAAGAAGTACTTGGAGGTAGTAATGGTGGTAGTGTTGGTGGGGGTAGTGGTGTGTGTGTGCAGTTTAGGTAGGGAGGTCAAAGCAATTGCATTGCTTAAAAAATATGATATATTTTCGTTTCTTTAGTTCCCCCAAAAAGGGCTTTTGTGGTTCAGCTAAAACTTACTGCATGGATGAAGTCATATCTGAAAATTCTGAGTCCAAATAAAGAAATGCAAACTTCATGACAGAAAGCAAAGAGAGAAAACCAGGTGTCTGAAGCATTGGAAGCATACCTTGTCTGCTCGATGGTCAGCACGGGTTTTATCTCCCACTGACATCACTGAGATGGTATCAGAAAGTGAATATAGCTGGGGCTTCATCTATTTGGGGAACATCTTTGTAGAAAGTCCCTTAATCTCTGACTCGTGCTGGCTATTCAGGGTATCTTAAGGCCTTTCCTTCTCCCATTTTCTGTGGGGTAATGGAAGGGCAGCTTACATCTGCTGAATACCTTCTCTAGCCAGGCACTTTGATGGAATTTTTAGTGAGTTAATTTATTTAATTTATACTGTTGTATTGAAGACATTATTATAGTTCCACTTTGGGGATGAAAACACTGATGTTTAAACTCAGAACTAGAAAATAGCAGAGCCAGGGTTAGTCCAGGTTGAATTATGTCTGAAATTCTGCCTTTATCAGTTAGCCTGAGCATCTTTCCATAGAGACCAGTGGCAGGAAGTGGAAGCATGAAAGGACTCACTGGGTGACCTGAATGTCCCATGTGTGGGCTGATATGCATGGCTGGATCAGGAGCAGCAGATGTGTCCATGTCTCTGCTGATTGTGCATGAAGGCACAGCAACTTCTGCTGCTTTTTTGTGTGTTGTCATTGGAAATGGGGATGGGCATGGACAAGTTTCGGGGCATGAGAGTAAATCTTCCTGTGTGGCTTCCCTCCTCGGCTCAGGTGGAGGCTTAACCTCAGTGAGTCAAAGTTCCCGGGGATCACACACATTGGAAGGAGGAACCGTGCATGGTGTCTGCATATAGATAATAGGGGTGGGGAGAATGCATGCAGAGTACTGAGACTCAACAAAGGTATTGTGACAGGGGTTGAGTCAAGAGTTGAGTTTGAAGATAATCTTAATTTCCTGTCTGCCTTTGTAAATGTAATCCACAGACTGACCTCATCCAATCTTAGGATGCTATTAGCAAGAAACAGGATGTCTCTGGACCACATCTCAGACATGATGGTTATATTTAACCTCTATATCACTGTGTAACCTTGCACTTATCTGTGGCGTATTTCCCAGAAAACAAATAGGTAGCATCTTGTTTTATGCATAATATGGTAATCTCCTGATAAGGTTATGTGTCAAGCAAATCACCATTTAGATGCACAAGAGAGACCTGCTACAACAAAGTGAAGAATTATTTTGAGACACCTGTAACCCTCTCCAGTTTTCCTTCTGTGATAAAGGAGAGGATTTCTACCTTCAATGCTATACTTTCCTTGGAGTTTTTGAGCCTATTTATCCCAGGGTCTCAATGCATGCCAAGGCAATGTCTCTTAGTTTCACAACATGTATCATAGGGGTGGGGAGAAGCCGTTACTCTTGTCATTCAGCAAGGATTTTCTTTTTCTTGACATTGTTGCCATCACAGAAATACACTTCAGGCACTGATGTTCCTCGCTGTGGTCTTCTGACTGTTGGGTAGGACTACCTCATCAAGTTTTAGTTCTTAGTGCTTAGGGATTGTTGTCTGGTTCCTGCGCCACCTCCCGCCCTCATTTTGATACTTGAGAACTTAGGAAGAAAGCATCATTCATCTTCCTCCATAAGAGACGCCACTCTTAACTGAGTTCTCCCTCTGGTAAAAACAAATAAGCAAGCAAATTACCTTTTCTTCTGAAATATTAACCCATCTCAACACAGTTGCCTTCTCTCCTCTGCATCTGCGTGCTCTGTGGAGTTCCAGCTGGGAATCAGGGTAAAGATGAGAAGTATCTGGTTATATTTCAAACATAAAAGGATAGTCCTTCTTTGTCTGGTTACATATCGTCTGCCCTGCCACTCACACAGATAAGATATGTCTTAATTCCAGAAGGGAATTAAGCTGTAGCTAAAAGAATAGTACCCATACCTTAGACACAAATCTGCAAGGGCACCTGGTCATGAATGTGCCTCGGTCTGGGAATCTGCTTAGAGACTTGGTCATAGATGCATCCTTTACAGCGGCATGCTGGGATCTCAGGGGTGAGATGAACTTAAGAGAAAAGATTCAGGGAGATCCCAGAGGCCCACATGAAAAAGTTTATTGTAGTTTCATCCTAACTGGGCAAGTTTTGGTCATACACACATCCTTTAAGGCAACATTCTGGGATGTCTCCTCACCCAAAGTTAGTATTTCTAAAGAACCTAAGGACACACACCTGTTTATTTCCATGCCCAAGATACACAAGGAGAGCATAAGAGAAGCTTTTTTTCACTCCTGTGGGCATGCCAGTGTTTTTCAGCCATCACTGAGGTTGTGGAGAGGGTCTGGTTGCAGTGAGGACATGTGTGAGCTAGAGCGCATTCTAAAACCCACTCGGAGTTTCCCAAAGTCAAACACCAATGTAGTTTAACAGTTTTGAAGTTGTGGAGTGTGGTTTCCCCCATTTTCATTGCCATCCCAAGTCTTCTGATCATTAAGACTGGCCTTCTGGGGAAAACTAAGGCAGTCCTCTGTATGAGATGAGTGTTAATTGACATGGTATCCCATGTCCTCATAAGTTCAGGGGTTATCTGTTCTTCATGTCTGTTCTCTGGGCTCCTAACTGGAGATTTATCCAGAGATAAGAAATCTGCCCATTAAGTAGTAATTAATCTTTGAACTCTCAGTTCTCTTAGCATTTTGCTTTCTGATTATCTGAAGAAATACAGTGTCTCAGAGCAGAGCAAGCCCCTAGAACAGGATGATAAATGGTGCCTGGAATGGAGTAGGACTCAGGTCTTCAAGGGAAGGGGATGTGGGAGCTAAAGAGAAGATGATGGGGGCGGGTGGA